CAAATTGATTGAGTGGGTTAAATTATGAATCGTTACTTTTGGGAGGTGAAGCTACGAACAGTGTGTGAGAACAGCCTGATCGCGGCTATATCCATGGTTTCAAAAATGCTCATGAGATCGTTTTTTTTTTTACCTTTTTTACTATAATAATATCATTTCTAAAAAGCTTGATGTCAATCCCTGGACATCCTGTCTTAGTGTTATTCACAGTATTCTGCTGCACTCTCTTTCAGTTTATCCCTTAAAGTTTAGAGTCCTTCATTGTCACACACCTGAGCTCCTTCTACATAAACACAAACAGACCTTAACGGAACCCACCGCGGAGCAGTGACTCTTTCTCTGACACTATTTTGTTGCAGCTGGCAGGAAGCCAGAGCACAATCGGCTCCTGGGGGCCAACGCTCCTCTGCCTCACTTTGTCGGCGGCGGACTCATACAAGTGTGTTCTGACAACTTGCTAATAAATGCAAAGTAATCCGTAGTTAGTGTCGTCTGCGTGTGAACACTGGCTGTACCTGACTGAGCTGTGGTGCAAACACCCCCGAGGCACCGAGAGGACAGCAGAGAGGGCTGTTGTGGTTACACTTAACAATAACCATCATTAATAAATGGTAAATTCATAGTTAAGTATACTTTAGCAAATGGTTAATTTACTGTTAACAAACAATGAAATCATAATTAATTGTGTTTGTAAAATATTGGTAATGTTATCATTTCTGTTATGTTATCAATAAATTGTGTAAAATCAAATAATTAGTTTATAAGTCATATATTGTATCATGGCTGATACGTGATGATAACAATTACATTCTGATCATATTAGTAAACTATTTAGGAACAGTTTATTGTTGCAATCATAACATTTGACATACTATATTAAGGATTTGTTAATGATTACCAAATCATTTTTAAACTGTAAGAAACATTACATAGAAAGATGGACCATGAACCAATCAGTAACCATTGTCAAAGTATTAACTATCTAAATAATGTTTATAGATGCTTTACAACTGATTTAATAACCATTTAACAAGGTATTATAATCATCAGTTGCACCATTCAAATAACAATCATAGACAGTTAATAAACCATTTATTAAAAAGTGTTGATGTTTTACAAATGATTTAACCATTTAACGAGGTATCAGTTGCACCTGCATAAAGCATCAAAATAGTGTTCATAGTTAACAACCCATTTATTAAACAGTGTTACAAATAAAATTGTTTGTATATGGTTGTCAAACCATTTATAAACTATGACCAAATACTTAATACAATATGTAAAATATGAGTGCAACAATAATACATGAAAATAACAAATTATAAAATTATCAGTATTTATAATTTCTTTGTTTTTTAATAGTAAAATAACTATTGACTGAAGTTTAATTAACTCTCAATGTACTATTCACTAAAAATGTTTATTCTAAAATGTTACCCCTTTTTTGTTTACTAGCCACTAACACAATAAATCGAGTGATACCAAGAAGACTGGCAGGTGTTTTGGACATGAAGGTGTTCCACCTGCGTGATCAATATATAGAAACGAGGACACTAATTGTCCTCCTTGTTTTAAAAGTGCCAAATGTACAAATGTCTCAACAAAGCTGAAACAAGACCTTTTTGCGTCCAGTTCAGACGCATCAAAATGACCGTGAAGTGCCAAATCTGGCATCAATCTTTCGAACAAAAGTATTAGGGAGTTGGTTTCTTAATAGGGCTTAAGAGCCTCAAATAGCTGTTAGTTAAACTGTGCTCGTGGGTCAAGACCAGATTTATGTTTAAAGAAATAATTAAAGGCTGCTCCTTAATTGACTTGTCCTGCTGCCAATATGACACATATTAACTGACCTTATAGTCCTCTTCATAAATCAGTGAGCCCAATCATTTCTACATTTAGATCACTCGGAGCCGAACTAATCAGTAATCTCATTTCAAAGTGGATCGGCTGCACTTTTGAGAAGAGCAGGTCCGCAGAAGAGAGCGCTCGTGTCTGCACCGCTGCTCGCAGTGACTTGAGAATATGCTGCGTATTACAGAGCAAGGTTAATTAAGGTTAATTAATCCCATTTGGAGAATATGTATGGATCAATTTGAGACCCACCTGTCTTCATGTATTAATTCGCTGTATGTCTATTCTTTTGTTGAAAGTGCAATCATGAAGGCACTTTGCCCTCGAAGCAGGCGTCATACATGTACACACGAAATACAGAAAAAAACTGAAAAATGCTAACTAAGTGAGAATAAATTTAAAAAAATGCACTTTAGACGTTTAGTAGGAATGGAAATAGACAACTAAGAGGACCTGATTGCTTTGCTATTTTAATAATACTGCCATGTAACTGCAAATCCTCATAATTGATTCATGTTCTCTTGCTTTCAAATATCTGTACAGCCTTGTGTTAAAGTGCCCCCCCCCTCTCCCGCCACAGTCATCGGTGCAGACATGAAGCCTCCATGTGATGTGTGAATTACATTTACCCCAGCTCCACCAGGATGTAAACCATTAGTACGGCGAGTCGTTGGAAGCGCGTTGCAACCCGCTATTGTTTCCATCAATTGTCAAAATGAAAATTAGTTGTGTTTTGACAGTACTTCTGGTGTCAAAACCACACCAGAAATATCTTTGTAGTGTTCAGTGGACGTGGGCGTGATGAATGAAAGGTAACCTGATTACCACCCGAGCTATTAAAACCCCTCATGTGTGACCCGCCACAGCAACCCTCTCTGCTTAGCAGCGGGGCTGCAGATTGCCGTTTGCCTCATGTTGGTTGGTGTGCGTGTCACTATTGATTTGAACTGTTCTTTTTTTTTTTTTTTCATAACACGTTTAGGTCATGCAAGGCTTCCATTTATTATTTGGAATATACTATTACTAGAGCTGGGTGCAGTAATAGTCCTGATTCTTTTCATTTTCTCACTCTCTCAACTGTGTCTCCTCCAGAATGCAATTATTCGTCAGGTGAAACTGTATTATGTCCTCTGTTACGTGCAGCATGCCTCACTTCATGTCGTCTTTAGAACCACGAAAAAGAAATGAAAGCACACAAATAATATGCATTAAACAGGACACTAGGCCCTACTTGGATCCGACGTTGATGGAAAGGAAGCAGGTGCTCCTGAGGCATTTTGGAGGCGGTGTGTTTCCATCACACTGATGCGCCCACTTCCTTAAATTGGCACAACAGTAGTTGGATGTAAACATGTATTAGGTTGCATATTCTTTGCATATTTATTGGGGAAAATTCAAAGTTTTACACTTTGTGGAGCGACTGGAGATTATAGTGCATTCCCCATAACCGCAATATCACTGATTGCATGTCATACGCTCTTTCTCTCCCCCAAAGATAAAATAGCATTGAACATTTTTGTATTATTATCACTGTTGGTTTGTTGTTTATTTCACATTTTGACATTACCAATAAATTCCTTTAATGCAAACTAAAAATAACAAGCCGTTATCTTTAGTGTGAACAGTAAAAAGTGTCACAACAATTATCTTTTGTTTGTTGATTTGTTGCCTAGAGATCTGGAAGACCTTCATATTTATCTGTACATCTGTCCTGTTCATCTGCATTCATGTTCACAGTCAGGCATTCAGCCGTCCAAGGCCTGCATGATATGGTCAACGTATCCTCATACAATGGTTGACATGATATCCTACGAACAGTTCCTCATCATTTTTTGTGCGTTTTCCTATAAAAGCCTACAACCCGTGTTAATTTCCAGTCGTAATTTCCGTCTTTACAGGAAACTCGATTAAGTTCAGGCCACAAAACTACCAAGTTAGGTTTAGGTAAAGATCGTCAATTGGGTAAAACTAACCACGGAAGTGCCGTCACTAAAGTGCGCAAGTTACGTGAAAAAAGCATCACCCTGACTTCTCGTTTCACACGGGGAACTGACCCATCCACCTCCCCTCCCGCCTGCCCAGTGTGTGACGTCCTCGTTGGATAACATACGGAAACATTGTGTGGGATGTCCACGAATTACAGCGCATTATTTTTCATATAGGTATTGTTACAAATGCTGGAAGAGAACAGCCTGATATAGATATAGACAGTTTTACAGCATGATTTTCTTTGATATTATGAATTAAATGGGATGATCAAAGAAAATGCATGTAAATACTACATGTTATTATGTTGTTTATTGTGGTACTGTTGCACATTTTGCTTGACTGACTTTATTTTCAAATTCCTCTGATTCAACCTGTGTACAAGACACGTTCTGTTTGTTTTCTTCTCCATCTTCTCACCATTTATTTATACCTATTGCTGTGCTTCTTTTCAGAAAATTCTCAACTTTTAAAACTTGTTAACCAATTATTGCTGTCTTCTTCCCACAAAAGTCCCCACTGGGACCCTTTAATTCACTTTTTTCTGATACTCGTGGCGCCATCACAGAGCGAGTGAGCCTTGGATATCCACAATATACACAGACGCACACATGGGATGATTTGGCCCGAGGCAAAGCCAAAGGCTGTTTACCGCCCAAAAATGTTCACTCTTGAAAATGTTCCTCACACTAGCGTGGATACACAGAGAGGCTACTGGTGTTGCTGTATTTGTATGTCATTTGTTTACGGAGGTGGCGCAGTGGTTCAGTGGTTTGCACTCCTGCCCCACACGCAGTTCGGGTTTGAACCTCGACCCCTCGGAGATACAAGAACTGCATTTATCAGGGTTAAGCCTCACTTCCTTCCCACAGTCTAAAGAAATGTAGGCCAGCGACTTTCTACTACTGCGTGAGTGTGTGGTGTGTTTATCTGTGTGAGCTCTATAATAAACTAGCATCCTGTTGTGAGTGTTTCCTCACCCGCTGCACACTGCTTTGGGCTCCATAGGCTGTGACCTTGAACGGGAGTAAGAAGCAAGAAAAAATAGGGCAGGGAAAAACAATAATTTGTTCATGACAACGCTCTCAAGTGTTTAAACCTCTGACTTGTGGGTATGTTTGACTTACTGCTGTGTTTTTTTGTTCTTGTTGTTGTTTCTTCAGACTTGGAGAACTTCAAGACTCACAGAAGAAGCTCCGTGTCAGTCCGCGAAGGTCAAGGAGTGGTTCTGCTGTGCGGCCCTCCGCCGCATTCTGGAGGTAACACCATACATCTTCATTTTTAATGACTGTTAAAACCCATTCGCATAAGCACACACTGGGAATTAGCTGCTTGACAGAAAGCCAAAAGTGAATGATGTTATGTTTGCCACGTGTTCAAATGTTTGTAATGTGAAGCTCTCACTAGCCGTATTTCTATTCACATATTAGTCTGTGCATTTTGAAGTAGCACATTAGAAAAGCTGAATGGAATCAGCTGAATTCTATAAAACTTCCTCAATGCACAAAAAAAGTCTTTACATCTGCTTGACGTAGAGAAAAAACGGAGGTTTTTTGCCTTTGATGAACAAAAGATGAAGCACTAAATGGATTATGGAAATGACTTCGTCAAATAACTTCTCACGTAGCGGACATTTACCTCACATGAATCGGCATTTTATGCGATGTCCCGGTAACGGGCAAAAGCTTGTCCTTGTCTCCGGAAAGCGTGAAACAAGGCCAACACCAGCTGACTTGAAAGAAGAGTTCAAACTTGACCAGTTGAAGCTTATTCCTGAAGACCTCTCCATTTTTCTATTGTACACGAGTTACATGGTCAAGCTGGCTTTTCGTTGTTTCCAGTTTGCAACCGCTACTTCTTCTACTCTGTTTACTGGCAGACTACAGCCAGAAGCGCCAACTTCTGACCAAATCACGCTGTAGACAAGTGTTTTCACTCCAAATCAGTTGATGGAAACGCACCTACATCGCATTTCAAAAGTTTGCTTAAAATTTGACCAATTTGACAAATGAATGTAAATGCAGCTACTGCTGCATTGGGTCGGGGATGTTGAAGGTCCAGCTGGTTCAATGGCACCTTTGATTTGGTGATCAAGACCTTGCATCTGGCACTACGAGGGACTGAAGTGATTCTTTCATTGCTTGTGTGGTGTGATCAGCTTTGCTCACAGGAGCCTGCAGCTAATTCTGCTTTGATTGGGGCTTTACTTTTCTCCCTCATTTCAATGTCAGCCGAATTGAAGTATTATGCAGTCCTATGTATTCATCAGTATTTGTTCGCAACCTAAAGGCAGGCAATGCCCTGGATGAATTATATAAGGTATAATAACATACAAATAATATGCTAATTTGCTTCCTTGCCTAGAGTTAGAGGAGGAGCTTGGTAATCTCGTATCAGTTCGAAATGCGAAGAGAGAGCCAGGATTAACTTGGTTGAGCATAGCTAAATGGACAGCTATTGGATGTGCCATGCGGCCTATATGAAGCTAAAATTCCGAGTTCAAACATAGGTTGTGTCTGAAATCACTCATTCGTTCACCCTTCTCACTGTCCAGGGAGTTCCACATAGAGGACTATATAGTGAGCTCATCGACACTCATTTTCATCTGTGCCATTAACTAAATGTGCCAGATCAACGTCGGCTGGTGGACCATCCAAAATAATAACAGACCACAGACATTTTTTTGTAACGGACACATATTGTGAGCTATTTTGTTGAGTTGCTTCTTATTGAAACGGAAGGAAATTTAAGTAAACACTGATGCCGTGTATATGTCTAGGGCTTTTATTCTGAAAGGTAAGGATGAAAGGAGTAAAACGGTATACTTTGTTAATGTCTGTGAGGGGCCGATAAGCATGTTTTCCCAAATTGATTTTTAAAAAAAAAATGGACTTTGTGGTTGTTTTGTGTTTGTGATGCGTTTCTCTGCTCACATTAAATGTTTTGTTTCCGCGCTGCTCTCTCTCCTCTCGCTCGTCTGCCATTTTTCCTTCAGTGCAATGCATGATGGTATATACTCCTCCATTAGTGACCATCTGTAGACTACTTTTCACAATGCATTATGGGATACTTTGAGTCCACTATACAGGGTATGATAGTTCTCACTATACATTCGGACAGCACAACAGACTCCACCATATAGTGAGTAGCTGAGTCATTTTGGACTCAGCCCTCATTTTTCTGCAACATCTTTTCATATTTTCTGTATAATTGCAGCAGATGTGTCCTTTCGTTGCTTCTTCTCTTCTCTTATTGGATCTTCCAAATGCAACAGCTGCTGGAATTTCATTCCCTCAATTGACAGCCACCAAACGGATTCATGCACAGGTCCGCTGTGGTGAAAATGCTGCTCGCCTGTAACTGACTGTAATTGTTCGGGGCTCGTATCCTTTTGGGCTTTTACCTGGCGAAAGCTTGCCAGGCTCTGCGGCAATCTGGCAACATCAGATTTATTTGCAAGTGGTCGGGCTTACATGCCTGTATTCGATTGTTATCTATGGTGTGAACAGTTGCTTCGCTGACTGGTTTCACATCTGACAATTTGTGCTGAGGTAATCCAATTAAAGTTTGTTTTTTTGAACAATGGGGAAATAATTCCAACATGACAGGCATCTTCAGGCACATGAAAAGCCCCCTCAAGACACTTGTCTACTCACTAATATACAGCGGCATTACAAGCTGTCAATTAGCAGTTGCATCTCTCAGCTTCAGTAGAAGCTACTATCAGTGTGTCATTCAGCTGGATAAACCACTCGGTTGTTGTCGTGGTCCTTCTTGCTCTTGAGTAGATGCAGTAAACAGTGTGTCTATGTGTGACTCCAATTCACGGTTGTTAGTCTTGCCCCAAAGCCCTGACATGAAACGGTGAAAATATTGCTTTTGACATTATGTTAAAGCATGTCTGCCTCCATTTTTAAGACAAAGACACATGATACAATTCTGGCACGAAGAGCAACCACATTCAAAAGCAACATATTCAGCGTCGGTTACATGTATCCACTCCCTCACCAGGGGAAATGAAACAGTAAACAACAGACAGCAAATCAACAGGCTTCACCACACCAGGCTGTTGGCACTAAACACCAACACAAATACACGTTCAGCCAAGCCGCCGGTTGGGTTTGTATTCAAACTGGCAACAATGAAAAGCAATCAATCCGCAGGCAAAGACCTAAGTGTTTCGCCAGTACCGGTCCTCTTTGTTGACCTGACATGTTGCCTTTGTTACATCTAAAATGGCACTTTGCATCTGCCTTTCAGCAGGGAATACTGCCGGTAACCTGGCAACGCGTGTTTGTTTCCTCCACGTCACGGTGAAATCAAAGGGATTGCCTTGAAAGCTTAGTCAGCAAATTTAAATTTAATTTCATGTTGTGAATTAGTTTCAATTAACTTGTCCTGGAAAGGAAATGAGTGGCATGAAATGCATTGAATAAGCAAGCGTCTTCCTAAACCCAATTATACGTGACGGCTCTCCCTGTGTGTCTACTGCTTGTGGATGACAGGCTGCGACCTGTTAGATGTCACAAATATATTATTAGTGATCAGTCAATCTGCCTGATCTTTTTTTTTTCATGTACACTTACTGCATTTTTTACGTTCTATTATTGTTTTTAGTGGTTGATTTCAGAAATGTCTGTGGTATGATACAAATGCTCCTTTTGCCCTTTAAAATATACAGTAGTTTGAATGATATGAGGACCATGTTCCTTCATCCCCATGAACACACACTGTAGTTTATTTTTGGCTCAATCCCGTCCTGCTGCTGTAAATACTCAGGAATGCATCAAATGTGTATCAATCCACTGCTGAAAATAGTCCCTAATAAATGCACCATTTCCTCCTGTTTGAGGAATGTTTGCAACAAACTGCAGTGCCCCACTGTTTTAGCTAATTACTGTGGCTTTTTGAAAAATGACACAATGCATTTTTGACCTGTTTTTTAAAGAGTTATGTCTTCTGTAGGAAAGGAAGGGCTTGGGGCTGAGAGCAACAAATAGGTTTGGGAAGAAAGAAACACATTGTTAGTTTGATCTTTTTCTTATGATTTGTTAAGAAAAGCATAACAGCTATGTTCTATTGTTTAGCCAGTGGTTTCACTTCATTACTGTAAAATATATCAATGATCAGGCTCTTTTCCATCACATCGAATGGCACTGCATTCACTTCCTTGTTCTGCATTGCAATTTTTGTCAGTTACATTGTTTATACGCCATAAAGAAATGTGGACTTTTCAAATCAATCTGCATTTGATTGGCAGATCAAGTCGATTTTGCTAATATATGCAGCTCTTCATGTTAGCCTGGAGATGTTCGGAGGACTAGGATATATATACATTTCTAACATGCACACTCTTAAACTTCACGTATGATCGCAGTAAGTTAAACTTCACGGCTTTTATGATTGGAAACAGTTTAATGGATTGGACACTACTCACCGGCTGCCAGAGTAAAATAATCCTTTTCCTCATGCTTTACCAGGGGCACAAATTCAGGAAGCAGCTCGGTCATCAATCTCAGTTGTTTTTTTATTTTATTGCAAATCCGTTTGGCCAGTCAGTAGCAGTGAAAATGTTGACATTGAACTTCTCTAAAAATGTCGACGTTTCTGAACATAAAACGCACAATGCCACGAGGTTAACGTTGTGAAAAGATTGGTTAGGTTAAGGCAACAAAATTACTTGGTTAAGGTTAGAAATAACATTATGGTTTGTGTTCAAAAGTAACGTAACAACACAACATTAGAACATGATTGTTTGACCCATCCACCCACGGACTCCCTTGCTTGTTGGACTTGTTTTCATATCACGTAACTTTCATATCACGTAACTTTCATATCACGTAACTTTCATATCACGTAACTTTCATATCACGTAACTTTCATATCGCGTAACTTTCATACCGCGTAACTTTCCATATTTGCTCGATATACTAATACGTCCACATTTAACGTATCCTGAGTCTGCAAAAACATACAGCGCCAACATTATCTCCTGGTGACTGCGTTGGTCAGGAGATAGGCATCGGAGTATGTTTTCACATAAATTCATTGAAACAAGATGACTAATGAGGACTAAGCCAACTACAACACCATGATATGAGAGAATGCACTCAGGATGTGAGGAAACCTGCAGCCTGCCTAACAGGGAATACAAAGTGATGGTGATAATGGAATACAATTTCATATTCATGAAATGCAATGTTCTTTACTCTAAGGGCTATTGGAGAAGACGTTTCCTCTCCTGACGATTTACAATTGA